GAGGAGGGGAGGAGGGGGCGGGGGGTGTGTTTTTGATCATTGTTTTTTTTTTTTTCAAGGTTCTCCTCTGACCTGCTCCTTCTTTGTTCTTTCTTGCAGTTCCTCCGTGGCTCCACCAGGCTCCTCCGTCATGGTTCAGTGGAGAGGAGGACAGAAAGAGAAGAAGTTCAACCTGGAAACATCAACTGAGAGAAGAGGAAGCAATATTTTTAAAATAATTAAAAATAAGACAATATAAAATCAAATATAAAGTCAACTAAATCAGAAATCAAACCCTGTAATCCAGTCAATAAATTCTCAGACAGATTATCATTTTAGCCTTTATGCACGACCTTTACGTGTCACTTATCTTAGTTCACACTCCTGACCCCTCCCCCCCGTTCAATTTTAGGCCCGAGAGTCCAAACGTTTGCCCTCGCCTGGACTAAACTGAGGCTCAATAGAACCACGTTCCATTTTTTTCTCCTTCATTTTGGCTTTAATTTCCCTCAGTATGGAGTAGAGAAAACCAACCACCACCTGGACATTTCAGCAAAGTTTGGAGGAGGCTCCGTGATGGTTTAGGGCTGCATTTCAACCGGCTGCGTTGTGAAACCCAATGGACCAAGTTTACGGAGCTCAATGATGAGTCATCTGTATCTGATGTCTTCAAAAAACAATATGTGAACACGAAGAACGCCCAGAGGAGGAGGAGACGTTCTTCACGTTCTTCCTTGAGTTACAGTGGAACAACTCACCACACGTGTCTGCCCCCTGCTGTCCGCACACCACCTCAACTTGACCCCGACGACCTGGCGGCGAGTTTGTTTTCTCCTGCACAACGTGTCACGAGTGCTCGTCCAGCACGAGGTCACGGCGGCAGAACAGCGCTCTGTACAGAGGTGACGGCAGCTGGGAAACCGTATACATTTGAAAAGACGCTCCACGTGCCGTTCTCCTCTCCGATAACCGCCGCCGCGCCTCAGCACAGCGACCTTGAAGCCACCAGGTTCTAATCAGAGGAGACGACGCCGCCTCATTTCCTGGAAGTGTTTATTCAAAAAGCAGGACAATAAATACAGATTTTACTGCCCCTACTGGCTGAGAATCACCACAACACGCTGTATCTGTGAGACACTGATAGGGGGTGCTAATGAGTCTAAAGGCCTTCACCTCGACGCTCTAACTACAGGGAAAAGAAGCAAAGATAAAAAAGTTGAAAAAATATATACTCTCCTCACGTGAGCCAGCGCTGCTCATTTGTTAACAATAATAAGAATAAAATATGTGAAAAAGTCAAATGTTGAAAAATAAAAACATCAATGTTTTGAGTTCAATTCTTTCAAAGTTGTGGTTTAAGATTTAACTCAATAACAATACGATAAAATTCCCCATTTTTAAGGCGATTCACGATACATCATTACAGCCGTAGTTTTAGTTTAATTAATTAATTGATTAATTACATTTTTTATTTTATTTATTTTTTTTAATTTTGTTGCGGAGATGCAGCACATAACAGAAACAGATCTGTGAATCAAAGGAATGAAACAAAAAAAAAAGAACCAGGAAATGTGGAGCTGGGAGATTTCATTTGCCTTTTCTGTCCTGCAGGTGGCGTCGACTCATGAACTCAACACTGTGTTAACCAAAGGAACAAACAAAAGACATTTATTCCATTCGTACCCCTTCAGGTGGCGCTACTAATACACCGTGGGACAGAGGACAGTCTGCAGCGACTTGACTTTTAGTTGTTGTTTTGTTTGGGATGAAGACCGGGTTTAGAACCCACACCCTTCCTCGGTTTCCTCCCCCTGAATGTGAGGCGGCTGCAGTGACAAATAGAGTTCGAGTAAACGGTGAAACGGTACTTTCTTTGATACTGGACGTGTTTAATAGCTGCGTCAGTAGAGGTTAGAGCCAAAGGAAAACAACAACAGAGCTGATACAATAAAATGGAAACAAATACATCACAGAGAAACGACGGCGAACACCACCACTGGTTCCTGTGGATCTGAGGACGCTGCGTTTGCACGGACTAGTACCAGGAACTAGTACCAGGAACTACTGGATCTCTGAGCCAGTCCAGAGAGGCCCAAAGCTGTTTGGTGACGAAGAAAAATAGTTCTCGTAGCAGTGACCTGACGATGAGGTCATTCAACCCAGGCCAAAGCTGTTTGGTGACGTAGAAAAATAGTTCTGGTAGCAGTGTGACCTGACGATGAGGTCATTCAACCCACGTCATGTACAGCACGGCACCAGAGTGGCCCACACCAGGCGAACATGTGGTCAACGTCTACAGTGCAAACCGTGGGCCGCATCTTGACCAAACGTCGGATGTGGTCCACCTACCCAGGTAAGCCCCGCCCCCCCATCTGAGAGACGGGGGCGTCTTAAAACGTCAACAAAGAATAATTCTAGAAACATCTCCTGGTGGTCCAGATTCTGGACTGTGGACCACATCATGGCCACATTTTAAACAAAGGTGAACCCTACAGTGTGGTCTACATCTGGTGCCCACATCTGGACTAAATTCAGGCTTAAAGAAGGGTTGCATCAGTATCGCTTTATTCCACCACGAGACACGGACCGGGCTGCTCACGACTCGGTCAAACCAGCTTCAAACTGTGGGCCAGGTTCTTGGTACTAGCCAGCAGAGGCGCAGGAACACACGTACAAGAACAAAAAAAAAAAGTACCAGATGAGTGGATAGGAACTTCCTGTACCTTCAGTTTGATATGTTTAACTTCACTTTTCCTCCTTTCTCTTCACAGACAGCTCAGCTCAGAGTGAGCCGCCGCCGGGTCTGCATCCTTCATGTTGAATGTCGTCCACATTTAAAAAGGCAACTCCAGTCGGACGACCGGACGTCAAAGGCAGAGCTGGACCTCGGACAGAGACCCTCTGAAAACTTCTAGCTAACGCTACTCTACGTCCGTGTATAAAATCCCAGCCGCCTCGCACTAACACTCGCGCTCCCAGTTAAGAAACTCACGTCGACACGTACACGTTAAAAAGCGCTCGTCACCCAAACGTTTGAACCTTTGGTCCACGACTCCTTAGAAAAATAGTAAAAATGTAATGCCATTTTTTTTTCCTTCAATATTATCTGGTATAAAATGGGAAACAGAAAAGCCTGGTCTACTGAGCCAGAGGACGGGGAAACAAACTGCAGGACTTTGAGGGGAGGGTGTCGTG